TAGGTAACAAGTTTTATAAAGTGTTAGTTACTATTTATTTTGTAAAATAATTAAAATAAAATAAGTACAAATAAAATAAATAATAATGTAGCTACAAAGTGTTATAAAATACGTAAGTTATCTATACTCGTATTAAATAAAAACAGTAATAAAAATAATGAAAAATAATGAAGGTATCAAGTTTTAGTATTTTTTAAAGAAAAAAAAAGTAATATATTATGTAATTATAATATTTATATTTTATTTCCTTGATAACGAATTCCCAAAATTTTTAAATATTCAATTAGTGTTATGTCTTCTTTGTCATAAGCATTCCAATTATCAATCAAAAATTTCCTTTTAAATTTAGCCTCTTTTCTAGTGTAATTGAATTAATTTTTGTTATACTATTTATTATTAATGCAGTTTCTGCCTGAATGTTAATTAGAACGTCTACTACATGGTGTATGTTTGGATGTGGATGGTAAAATTGTGCATTGAAATGTTTATGGAAAGCTTCTGGCCCGTTAGTTGTCCTAGTATTATTTATGGGAGCTTTTGCCCAAATATTTGGTGGAAATTGAGACTCTTTATTAATATAATTTTCTAAAATATAATCAGTAAACGTATGGCTATCTGTAGGGGCTATAGAAATGAGCTCARCAAAACCATCATCAACTTGTTCAGGTGGTAAGAATGCTAGACCTATAGTCTAGGCGTATAATGCTAGATGATACGTCGCGTACGATACGCGTCCATGTGAAACGGGCCGTCGCGCTTGATTAAAGGTATATACAGTATACACTATATATTTATATTTTACACATCTATATACATAATACATATATACTTACTATATACTATATACATAGAATAGATACCTAAAAACTATAGTGCCCAAACGTGTTGTAATATTAGAATAAAATAGTGTCCAAACGTGTTGTGATTTTGTGCCCAAACGTGTCGCAATTTGGGATAAAATGCCTAAACGTGTTGTAGCCACAGATACATAATATGCAAAATAATTAAATAATACAAAAACCTGAAATAAATACTATATAAAATAGGTACACTGCCCGACAACCTCTTTGAAGCCCTCAGCCMTACCTATGACAACACCAACAAAATAATTACATTTTTAAAACAAATATGTATAATGATATGTATAATCTAATTTAAGAACCTATTGTATAACCATATTTTACTATGTACTAAATACTAATTTTGCTACAAG